TTTTAAATAATTTTCTTTAAAATTTTCAAAAATTTTTCAAAAATTTTATTTAAAAATTTTTTTTAAATGTTATTAAGGTGGTTAAATAGAGATGTTCTATAAAACTTTTGTAGAAAATATTTTTTGATATCTCGAATAATTTTTTAGATATATCGTGAAAAGCAAAAAGCCATTCTACATAGAAGGGGTGGTTTCACCCCTTAAAACCGTTTTTGGACAGAAAATGAAAATTTCTAAATTCATCTATTGTTCCCCCGTATATGTGTGTAAAGTTTCATCAAAATCAGTATTTTCGGGTTCGCGAGATTCCTTTGTCAGAATATTTTATAATGTAAATTATTTCATAATTTTGGCGAGCACTTTAATTACGAATATGATAACGTTATCTAATTCCAATGCTCGTTGTCGCTTATTTAAGGGTGCATGGTAAACAGCGGAATATTGCAGGACGTCATAACACCACTTTGCATATTCGTTAAATTATATGACTTTTTCACATACCTAAGCACAAGCGGTTCGTGACCCACGTTAACTTTGTCCTTTTTCGAATCGATTTGCTTATTTTCATCTTTTTTTATGCCGTTTGTACCGTTGGTAGCCGCGATATTTGTAGATACTGTGGAAGTTTCCATTTCTCCTGTGTCCAGGATAAAAACAGTCACATCGCCGGACAAAGCTGTGTGAGACCGGGGAGCGACGACTTTTAATAGTATCGGCTCCTTCGCATCTGTCATCGATCTTGTGATACCTGAAACTAGGAATCACAATCTAAAGACGTGAGTACTTGCTAAGTAAATTTTACTTTAATAAATGAAAAAATTATTAATTGCCATTGTTTATAAACTAAATTAATTTAAAAAATATAGATGTAGCACAATGTTCAAAATTAAACATAAATTAATAAAAATTGGTTAACTTAATAAATGTTGACAACTATTTTTTAATTGTTAGTTTAATATTTAATATAGCATTATTATTTTTAATTAAATCATGCGTTTAGTTGTTGATGTGATGTTACATTATTTTAATATGTTAATGTTGTATTTCCTTATGTGCCCGTATAAATTAAAACTCAAGTTTGAGAAATATTACCACATCTCAGGAGAAGGATGATTAATAATCCCAGTAATGACCATTCGGATGTCCAATTCATGTCCGGCTCTTCATTGATAATTGCCAGGGCCTAACCGATTCGGTGCCCCGGGTTGGATAGTAATTCTGTGCCTCTATTCTGCTGAGAGTAATAAAAAAAATCCGTTGAGAATTTTGGCAAAGTTAACTGGCAGATAATTAATACAGGTAATTAAAATAGTTAAATTATTATAGCTAAATTAGTAATTGTAAAATAAGTCATACTAGAATGTGTCAAAGTAGAACATTTATTAGATTACGTTCGAGTAAGGTAAAGTAAATCAGAGTAACCTAGATTATACATCACAATCAGTTAGAATAATGAATATTCTTATAAAGCTCCTGAAATATTTTTAGCTAGAACGATAATCATCACACATGCGATTGTAATATTACGTGCTCTAAAAGTACCATAATGTGGCCTTTAAATATTCTTAAATTTTATATGCAACATTGAATAATTCTATAATACAATGTAATGACTATAATATGATATAATGCTTAACTTTATTTTTAACTATCTTAATAATTTCTTTGTTTACTGTAAATTTTTGGTAGAAGAATATATCGACAAAAATATATTATTTCTCAATTAATCATTTTAATTAATTATATTAATATGTAAACGTCTTATTTTTGCAAGCAATTAATGCTCAAGATTGTCGTCGACTTAGCAATCTTTCAGATGCAAATAAGCTGATGCCGGTAGCAGCATAATTTTGCTCTGAGCCAACGATCAAAGTCACGGTGCAGGGTGTGCGCGTTTTGCACTATCGCTCTGCTTCTGAAAATCTGCAGCCCTGTATAATTGCACGTGTTGCACCCTTAGGGCGACCCCGCGTCGCTTCTCGGAGGGAAATCGAAATCGGGCATCGTCCTTTCGCGTCCGTATCGATCGGCCGCGTCCCTATAGTGTGCACTGCTTCAGAAAACGCACATACGTGCTGTGTCTATATATACAATGTCGACCGCAATAAGGAGTATTTTTCGTATTTAACATATTATTTTTCGTATTTAACGTATTATTGGCGAAGTTAATCGATAGTATAGGCAACATTTATGATGTTGTACTCTATATGAAATTATATTTTTATCACACTTTTATTGCAAAATGTAGCAATAACTATTAATATAAAAAAAATTATTTTTTTATGTTTTATAATACATAATAAATATCTGCATGATATTTTATATTGCATATTAAATATTTTTTATGTATTAAATGATTTTTATTATATTACTTTATATCGATATTATATGTAAAAATTTATAGTTATATTTAATGAGAATTTATTCAGACAGATATATTCTTTTTTTATCAATAAGAAGAATAACTCTTTGTGAAATTTTGTTTTCTTTTCAAATTATACTTTTAAATATGTGATATATTCATATAAATCGTTTTCCTACATCCTGTGTGTACAAAATATTTGCGCATATCTGTGAAAGACCTGACTAGTTTCTATGGGGTGTCTCAAACCCTCTGTGAATTCTTTTCATCGCAAAACAAAAATAGGTGGACCCTTCCATAAATGTGCTCGTTAAAATCGAGATTTCTCACTGTTTGCGTTTCCCTCATAATTTAGATACGAGAAAACGCGATCTATGAATAAATTCTATCCTGGTTAAAATACGACAGTTAAAAAGTCACAAAAAAGTCATTACGAGATATTAATAAAATTTTTATTTTTTTAATTTTTAAAAGATAATTTTATAAAGATTGTTTTATGAAGAATCATGCGCAAAATTAAGATAATATTATGATAAAATAGTATTACTCTTAGAGCAAGAAAAGGAAATTTAATCAAATTGGAACTTGTAATACATTGCAATATATATTAATTATTTTTTTGTAATTTTGTCATAAGAAATTGATTATTATGTTTTTATATTATTTAATTATTAAAAAATTTATTTATTATTTTCAGGCATTTAATTTTATATTTGCTTTATGTTAATAGTACATACTTATAACGACGAATATGAAAAATGGAAAAACAATGCCCAATGTAGACAACCCATATGTCGGAATGGCCTAGAATGTAGTATTTAGATCGATTATGCAATTGGAATAATGAGTTCGATGCCTCATGCAAAAGGGAATGCCAACCGCATATAGATAGACACGCATTGCTTATCGCTGTAGACACGCGTGGAGGTGATTAACATTGATATATCACAGATAAATATCGCCCCTTTGCCAGAGGCGCGACGGTGGGATAAAGTCGAGTGCTTTAAAAGCGACAGTCGCGAAACATGCATAGAATATACCAACAATATATCAATGTAACAAAATAATTTGCATTAATTGTATAACAGCAATCTTATGTATGCACGTGAAATAGTGGAAAGTTGTTAAATAAACTAATAAATCGGTTTGACATTAAGTATCAAGAATATATTGTTTAAGTAAATTATAAAATTAACAAATTTAAATTTAACTTTTCTGACTCTTAAAATCAGATTAAATTATATTTTCTAAATATAACATAGAGAAAATAAAACTTAGTAATAACTCGAAGCGTAGTATAATTAATCTTAAGTCTACATTATTTAGTATTTTCTACTTAAACATTGGAAACGTCTTTTATCTGAGTTTAAATTGCAAGTTTTCGCTATAAGTCTCTAAACTTTTTAAACTTAAACAAAACTTGATTTATCTTAAACTTTCAAATTCTTATAATGTTTGACATAAATTCCTGAGAACAACAAAAATATACAGACATGTTAAAGATGCTTTCAGATATTTTAAGATATTTTCTACTTTTAAGTAGTATAGTTTTTAAATATTTTTGCAACATTTTTCTTTCAATTTGTATTATATAAATGTTAATATACATACTTTGATTGTTAATATACGCAGTGTCTTTATCCCGATGCAATCCGCATCTTTTTCAGCGTGATTAATTGCACAGTAGATGAGCTCGATCGTCGACTCTGACTTGATTGATCGATTTCGCTTCTCATCGATCCTACGCGCATCGACGATGACGTTGGCGAATAACAACGATGTAAACGACAACGATGTCGACGAGCGGCCGTTTTGCCGACTGAAGGACGATGAGGGTGCGCGACTACTCCGGCGGCGGCGGCGGCGGCCTCTTGGAATCGATATCGAGAGCCAGGCCGCCACACAAAATTGTCGGCTCGCCTATCCACGCCGTACAAATACCCTCGCGCGCATCCCCGCGCTCTGAGGGTCAACCCTCCACGGACGTGAAATTATCTTCTTACGGAGGGAGAACAATGTTTACGAGATTCGGCGCGCTAAGAAACCGACACTATTCTTATTTCATTGGCTTTTTTCTTTTAATAATGCTCTGTTTTAATAAATAAGGAATTATCTGGTTTTATTTTTTAATAACAATATTAATTGTCAATTTTGTCAATTTAGATTAAATTTTCAGAAATGAAAAGTTTATAACTGCGTTTAAAGTTAACACAGAAAGTATTTATTGCTCTTCGACATATTCTTCAATCTATTTTGCTTGGAAGAAATACTGTCAACATTAGCGATGATGACACTATATCACTTAAAATAAAAAACAAAGTTTAGAAATAAAGTAATTTATATTTCTTTGCAGAGTTTAATCGAATTAACCGGATATTATTAGCACTTTTTCATTTCAAATTATTCGGAAGGATTAAAAAGATTCGCGATGAGATCGACGTGAGATTTTATTCGCCGATGAGGGATCCCGCAGAAGCGCGAAACGGAGAGCAACTGTGCCGGGACGACGCGTACATCGCGACTAAAGCTGGGGTCGCCGGCCACCCCTCTCACCCTGTGCGGGGGTCGAATCGCCGCCGTTGCCCGCACCCTCGTCGTTTGGCGGGGTGCGTCTCAGGGGTAAGCATTATGACAGAAGGTTGGCTTCTATGAATGAATACTCGATCTATACATGGCGTGCCACACCGTTGCGTGTTTTCGGAGCCGGAAAGACAAGGCCGATTCCACTGGCGGCTTAATGATTCGATCTTGCCTCTGAAGAAAAGGCGAAGAGGCGATTACAAAGGCGCTGAAGATAGGGGTGGCTTTAGACAATATCGGCGTTTCACAAGAAGCGAGGGGTTGATGTTATGTTGGATGAGAATGGCCAATGTAATATTGTGATGTGAGAGCAGAAGAAAAAATTATTTGTACACTGGTTATAGAGGTATCCGTCCTTTTATTCGTTAATGATGTTGAAGGTACTTTTCGAAGTCTAAAATATTAACATAGCTTGGTAAACAAAATGTTAACATTATATGCTATATGGTAGTATGAGCAGATATGAATACAAATTGATACACTTTTTAAATAGATAATTTTTGATACATTTTTAAGCAATTGGATAGAATTAATAGACAATAGAATGATCTATATTTGTTAAACGTAAAATTAAAAAATTATATATATAGTATTAGGCTCCAATGATAATTATCAATTGTACATGTCAATACAACATAAACAAATTATAAAACTTGAACATTAATTGCAAAATGCGTGCATTATTATTGAACCATTACTGGCGTTTTACACCATTTAATAATGGTTAATTATGTTACTTTCAACAATGCGTACATTTTCGAACAAATTTGCGGTTGCTCAATTTTTTATCTTATATCTTTAAGAATGTAATCTTTAATGATACGTGCATTTTGCAATTAATGTTCAAGTTTTATAATTTGTTTATGTTGTATTGACAACCGAGAAAAGCCTAATGCGAGACAGAAACGTCTATTGATATTATATTTTGTTCATAATAAATTAGCACGTTGAACCAGCCACGGCTTTTTTTACATTTTTTTAACTTGATTAAAAAATTATATATGTCATGGCTATGTCTTTGATAAACTTTTATTCTTTTATTCTTAACTTTTATTCTTAAAATAAAAACTTTATTAATAATTTAAATATTGATTTTATCACACAATATTTATTATTTCTATTCATTATGTATTTGTTAGTACTATTTTATTGATTATATTCAATCATATAATATAATATATATAAATAGATGAATATATCTTAATTTTGTTTTTCTATGAAAATTTTTAATTATAATACATTATCAAACAAAATTTATAATTTTTAATAATTTAGATTATATAAAATAATTGCATTTGTACACATTTGCATTGCAACAATACCCAATAAACATTAGGACATCATATGTACGTCCTATGTACATATATACATATATGTATATTGTATATTCTACGTATATACAAAGAATGTGAAAAGTATATAAAGCGCATATCCTATGTATGTAAAATAATTACCATATGTATGTACATAGAATGTCCACAGTACATACATAAGTATATTCCAAAGATATGCAATGTATATTCGTGGTATATACATGGGGTATATTCCGAGGATGTGCAATACACATTCGTGGCATGTACATGAGGTACATTCTATGTATGTACATAGTATATACAGTACGTTTTTTTTCACATTATGGATATTCCATGTATATAGGATATTGAATGTTTACTGGGTAATAAACAATTTTCATTTATTTGGATATTTATCTACCCCATTTTTGAACAATCAGTTTATCTAATTCCCTGTGTTGGGATTCAGATATTAAACTAATTGAAAAAGTTATTACATCTTCAATATTATTACCCGCCTTTTGCAAGTTTTATATAATTCTCATGATTAAAACTTAAATACGAGATAGATAGCGCATAATGCGTCACATAGCGGCAAGCGAACAAACTAATGACTAATTCTATGTATATCCATACGATATTTTATGTATATCCATAAATGTACCTACATCAGCGTATATCGTATGTATGTACGTTACATGTATATACATGGAATGTACACGAGGTATATTCTATGTATATACAGGCAGCGATCTCGTTCGAATATACATTCTATGTATATCTTAAGATATCTGTAAGATATCTTATGTATATCCACAAATGTATTTACATCAGCGTATATAATATGTATGTACATAATATATACAGTATATTTTTTTTCACATTATAGATATTTTATGTATATACATAGGATATCGAATGTTTACTGGGATAGAGATTTGATTTTCTCTTTTTTGGTGGATACAAAATTTAAAAAAAGTTATACAATGCGCAAAACAATATTTCAGGATTCTACATTTTATTTCTTAATAAATCATCAGATAACGAGATAGATTGTACAATAATTATCGCGAGTAATACGTCCACAAACAAGTGAAAGTTTGAGTAACTTAACTTTCCGAGGTGCCACTTCTGCATGGCCCTTCATGATGCAAACGTAAAAAGAACGGAGGGTTATTGTGCAGGCAAGACTCAGCCAATTAACGAGCAGAACCCTCATTTAAAGTCTCCTTTCTTTTACATTGAATTTTTCCTATTTATTGTCTATCTGTTCATCAAAGGGTGGCATTTTTTTCTTCGTTTCGGCACTTCTTCTTGCGCCTCGGCGGCGACGATAGTACAGCTTGAATAATTGATACTTCCAGCACTTCTTCGCCACTGCACACGCACGGCTATCGGCGTCTGCAAAACCTAATTGCGCAGTGTTCCGAGAACAAAGGAATTAGTGGTTCTTTATGACAAGCAACACCTACAATTACGAGGCAAATATCCCTTTTCAAAGCAAACCCTTTTTTTTTAGTTTTAGATTTGCATTAATTGCAGTGTATTTATCTTCAATTACGCGAAACAAATTGCAAAAATAAAAGAAAAATATTAATTAAATAAAATCTTTTTTGATTGGAATAATTGCAATTAATATATGTATGTTTCTCCTTTCCCACACAATATGTTTGTCTTAACGACGTTCTGTAGACGTCTTTTTTATTACGTCTTTAAAACATTACCTAAAGACGATGTACAGACGTCTGACGGATCTTTTGTAAGAAAGGTTTACTAAAAAGCCTCATAAAGTCGTCTGCTATGGCAATTCTAGAAGAGATGCATAACCCACAATTTTATTCAGTCATCATTATGTCTAATTTAGACCAGAGGATGATCCTACTTGTGGAGTGGATAGTTTGACCCAAAAAATTTTTTTTTAATTGATAACAAAATGAGTCACGTAAAATCATCCTCCGGTCTAGACAGGGCATTAATTGCAGAGTGCTTGAATAAGACATTGTAAAACGAAGGGTTTCAAGGAATCCAAGTTGATGAGACGATGGACTGTCAAGTAATAATAATAAGGTGATAAAAGGTAATTTGAAACTATAGTTTATATTTTATAATAATAACTTTTAACAATATATGTCTCTTATGCTCTGTTTGACGTTGCTAAATTAGATTAACCT